AAATTAGGGCTTTTTGTGTAAAATCCGAATTCTTGTGCTCATCTTGGTATTTGTGTTCTTGCATGTATAATCCATGTTATAATCTGCGAATCTAAGCATTTTGTGTTTAAAGGTTTAATATTTCGAATTTTTGGGAATTTTGGAAAAGGAAAATGAGTTTTCAAGATTTTTGGGGTTGCATGTGTAGATCTATGAATCTCTAGGACTAATCTGCAATTTCTTGAAATTTTAGCCTGAAAAATGTTTTCACCTTTAAAATCTCAGTAGGAATAAGTGGAATTTTTTTATTTTCTATTTGGACATAGTTTGGGATTAAAATTTGTTGGAAAAATCATTTTTGGCTTCAACACTACTTGCCGAATATTTTAATTTTTATAAACTCGATTTTTGAGGAAACTGCAAAATTCTTTTCGCATTTGTTCATTTAGTCAGTTAGGCAGCCTATAATTAAATTTGAGAATTTTTAGATGCCATTTGCTATTATTTCGAAATATTGGTTGTGCATGTGTCATGAATGGAACTTTTGTGTTTTAATCATTATGCCTTGTGTATTAATTGTGAGAATGTGAGTTGGTGGTTAAAAATCTGCAGTTGAACTATGTTAAGGGGCTGTAAGAATTTTAATTCATTAAATGAATAAAAGGGGGAGAAATCCCATTAATGAAAAGATAAAAATGTTGGTGCTTTAAAGGGCATGGTTTGATAATTTAATGCTAATTAAAGTGTGTCTTGGGGCTGCATATTATGATATATAAATCTATAATAATTATGTGAATTATGTGCTATATTTAAGTGGTTATATATATATGTGTGTGTGATATGTATGTGATTGCCGTGTATATATGTGTATTATGTGGATAATTGGATTTTATTTGTATGCTCGTTGATTGATATTTGTGATGTCGTAAAGTGGTCATTTTTGTTTTAAAGTCTCATTCGTCTCATGGTCTTGCATAAAAAGAGATTTCATTTTTACGAAAGGAAAGGTTAATGGAATGCTTGGGTTGGATAAGTCGGGATACGGGGGGTCGGTATCCCAACCATAGTTACTATAGATAAAGGGGTGGTTTGATACCACCAAAAGAACGGGCTCAGAATAATATTCTTATCATCCAAGTAAAGAAGTCAATTTTTCACGGATCCGAACAACAGAAAATGTTTTCATTCATACATTTGCACGAAAAGGGTAATTTGGTAATTTTCGTGTTTGAGTCGATTTATGTGCTTCAATGAAATTAAGTGTTTGTGTGTGTGTGTTCGTTTGCCGACGAATGGTAAGATGTGATGCTTATGTGTATATGCTAATATAAGTACGTAAAACCATATTTTAAAACCTCGTTATCCATTCGGATTTCTTACTAGGCTTAATAGCTCATATATCTACCTCTTTGATTGCAGGTAGTAGTAGTAATCCCGCGCCGGAATGGACCGAGTAGTGGATCGGAGTCTTGGCCGGAGCTTTGGGATGGTCGTACGAGGGGTCTATAAATTATGCTTGTTTTATTTTGGTGATGTAAACTAAAAACAATTTCCGTATTTCCGTTTCCCTTAAACTCTAATATTTCCTCGTTAGGGGAATTAAACTCTTATCCTAGTACGGGCCTTATTTTGATAATAATATAGGTTGTCCACTTATTTTGATAATTGCATTTCTTACCCGAAAATCCCAATTCACCAGACACCTTTAAACTCTGATTTCTTCTCGAACCCAAATTCGAACCTATAGTTAGATAAACGGAGCACTCGAATAATAATCTCCCTTTTCAAAGTTATTTCGAAACGAAAAAATTTAAACGACCAAAATCACCTAAGAAGTTTTCGAAAATTTCAAGGTTTCCAAATGACCCACAAAGAGATTTTTAGAAATTACATTTTGGTCCTACTCGAAAGTTTTAAAAATTACAAAGAGATCCCTTTTGCTTCCGCTATCGAAGTACAGTTTTCCGATAAACCGGTTCGATTTATCGCCCGACCCGAGGGGGGTGCTACAACAGTGGTATCAGAGCATTGTTTATAGAAAACTCGTACGAACCGAAAGCTGGGCTTGAAGACTAACGAGACACGATAAACTCGCCCATCCGGTAACGTTATGTGTATTATATGTCTTATTTATTTATGTGCTTTACTTATAAATTGCATAATAGGTTATAGAAATTATGGCAAGACGACTAACCCGGAGTTCCCAAGGCACTCCCACTAATGAACCAACCGACCATCCATAAGGCGCATCTCAAGCGTCTCTGTGACTGCTAAACTGATCAAATATCTCAACGTAATTGCATCGATCACAGAGGAATATGTTTCATCATAATCAATTCTGGGTCTCTATGAGAAACCTTGTGCAACTAGTCGTGCTTTATATCTCACAATTTCATTTTCCTCATTTCGTTTTCATACGAATACCCATTTGTATCCAACGGGTTTTACACCATTCGGTGTTTGGACTGCTGGTCCAAATACTTTACGATTTTCAAGGGAATTTAATTCAGCTTGAATAGCATTTTCCCATTTTGGCCAATCATTTCTATGTCGACATTCTTCGACAGATTTTGGTTCGGGGTCCTTATTTACAATATCAGTTGCAACCCCATAGGAAAAAATATTATCAATAACAACTTTATTCCTATCCCAGTTTTTTGTGGTATTCAAATAGTTTAAAGATATCTTTTCGAATATAAGTTCTTTCTCATGATCCTCTCCAGGGGCATCATGTACTTTAGATTGATCAGTCACATTTTTCATAGCGTTTTCTTGTTCATAGATAATATTCTCTTCAAGAGAATTTACTTCTATTACCCTTTTCCTTCTAGGGTTCTTATCTTTTGCGCCAATAGGGAGTCCACACTTCATGCGAGGTTTCATTATCTCTTCATGTTGTCCTTCAGGGACATCAACCCGTACCGGGGTGTTTATAGCAGGTATATGAGATTTTGTTACCGTTTTCATATCGGTAAAAGCATCCGGCAATTGATTTGCAATATTTTGCAAATATATTATCCCTTTTACTTCTTTCTCACATTGATTTGTGCGTGGGTCAAGATGAGACAAAGACGGTACATTCCATGTAATTTCACGCCGTTCAACCTGAACCGACGATCTTTCTCCCCCTAACGGCGGGAAAATTGTCTCATGAAAATGGCAATCAACTAATCTTGCCTTAAACAAATCACCCGTCAGGGGTTCCATGTATCTAATTATAGACGGGGAATCAAAACTAACATAAATTCCAAGTCGTCTTTGTGGACTCATTTTTGTTCTCTGAGGTGGAGAAATTGGAACATAGACAGCACAACCAAATATTTTTAAGTGAGAAACGTCTGGCTGCTGGCCAGAAACAAGTTGCAACGGTGAATACTGCTGAAATGAAGTTGGTCTAATCCTGGCCAATGAAGCAGCATGTAATATTGAATGTCCCCAAATAGAAGTGGGTAAATTAGACCGTAAAAGCAAAGTTTCATCAATAAGTTGCAATCTCTTAATAAAGGACTCTGCAAATCCATTTTGAGTATGTACATGGGCAACTGAATGTTCAATATCAATACCAATTGACATACAATAATCATTAAATGCTTGAGATGAAAATTCACCGGCATTATCAAGACGAATAGTCTTGATAGGATAATCAGGAAGTTTAGCTCTTAATCTTATAATTTGAGCAAGAAGTCTAGTAAAAGCAACAGTACGTGTTGAGAATAGACTCACGTGTGACCATCTAGATGATGCATCCAATAGAACCATTAAATAGCAAAATGGTCCACAAGGTGGATCTATAGGTCCATAAATATCCCCTTGAATTCTTTGTAAAAATGTTTGGGCCTCGCTACTAATTTTCATTGGAGATGGTCTTATAATTAATTTCCCTTGTGAGCATGCAATGGACACACATTCATGGGGCAAAAGAATCTTCTGGTTCTTTAAAATATGCCAACATGAATTATTTATTATTCGACGCATCATGGTCGATCCTGGTTGACCAAGTCAATCGTGCCAAAGAGAGAAAAGTTTCGGATCATTGGACTTCTGGTCCATCACAATATTTGTTTTTATTTCGCTTATAGTCGCATAATACAAACCTTGTGAGAAAACTTGGAGTTTCTCTTTAACATGCTTCTGGCATGAAATATTGGTTGTAATACAAAGAAGTTCCATATTCCCCTCATTCATAGTCTCGATATGAAATCCATTGAGGCGTATGTCCTTGAAACTCAATAAGTTTCTTTTGGATTTATTAGAGTACAAAGCCTCTTTGACCAAAATATTCGTTTCACCGGGCAAAACAATATTAGCTCTTCTGGAGCCATCAATTAGTTCTGCAGTACTAGAAATTGTACTAACAATTGCCTTTCCCAATTTCAAACTTGAGAAATATTTTTGATCTCGAAGAATTGTGTGTGTTGTTCCACTGTCAACCAAACAAATGTCTCCATCGTTCAGGTTGCTCACGGACTCATTATATTCCATTTTTCTGGGAATAAAATAAGTAATATAAGAAGATATAATAAAATTTATTTTCTTATATCAATCAAACCACCAACCATAAAATTATTTCGAACTCATTTAGGAAATGGAAAGATATACATTATTTAACTCAAATGCAACATAAATGTAATATTTGGTCAATCCTCATTGATCGATTTTGTTGCCATCATTGTTATCATCACCGTGCAATTTGATTCCATCAATTTATCCACTTGGTGCGGGAAAGAAATCAACAACATCCAAATAGGTAAGGTCCATTGGATCAATATGGTCATTCTCGGTGTTGCTAAAATCAGTAAAATTGATTTCTTTCCCTTTTCCTTTTCCCTTGATGGATGCTTGATATAAATCAACAAGGTGCCTTGAAGTACGACACGCACGTGACCAGTGCCCTTTCACTCCACACATGTGGCAACTCTCATTTTAATTATTATGAGGACCAAATTTTACAGCCTTGCCCTTGTCTTTTTTTTCACCATTTTTATTCCACTTTGGGTGGTATGGTGCAATTCTAGGACCATCTAGATGTCGACCATAACCACGACAATACCCACGCCTGCAGCCACGACCTCGACCACGATTATAGCTGTTTGCATTCACTTCAGGGAATGAAACATTTGCATTTACTTCTGGAAATGCTTGTGATCCCGTTGGGTGGGAGTTATGATTTTTCATCAAGAGCTCATTGTTCTGTTCAGCAACTAGGAGGCAAGAAATCAATTAAGAGTATTTGGTAAAACTTCTTTCACGATATTGTTGTTGCAGGAGCATATTAGAGGCATGAACAATGGTAAATGTCTTTTCTAACATGTCATGTTCTGTGACATCGTCTCCGCATAATCTCAATCGAGCAACAATTTTAAACATGGCGGAATTATACTCATTTACTGATTTAAAATCTTGCAAACGCAAGTGCATCCATTCATATCGAGCTTTAGGAAGTATCACACTCTTCTGGTGATCATATCTTTCATTTAAATTATTCCATAGAGTAGCAGAGTCCTTTACCCCAAGATACTCGGATTTTAAGCCCTCATGGAGATGATGGCGAATAAAAATCATTGATTTCGCCTTATCTTGTTCACTTTCCTCATTACCATCCTTAATGGTATTTCCGAGGTTCATGGCATTCAAATGGATCTCAGCATCAAGGATCCAAGTTAGATAATTTCTTCCGAAAATGTCTAGAGCAGCGAACTCAAGCTTGGTGATGTTTGCCATAGCACTGAATCATAAAATTAATAGTGCTTCAGATTATATGTATACTCAAAACTTCAGGTTTGAATCTAACTTATTCAATATATTCAAGCTTCAGGCTTTGATATTCGATATGGACTTCAGGCCTATATTTTCTTTAAAGAACTTCAGGTTCTTATGATAATTTGCATGACAATAAAGCAAATAAATAATAACTAAATAGATAGCATTTTAATTGATGCATAATAAATTAATATATTTATTATTGTATCAAAACGTTTGATATCATTAAAAGAAAACTGTAGACATGTAAAATACACACATGAATAGATAACAAAATGATTATGCCAAAAACAATATAATAATTCTATGAGTACATGCAATTATATAGGTATACACAAGTATATATGCATATATGTAAAAAAAAAAGTGCTAAATGGATAAACAAATTTTATTAGTGTATGCATGTAAACACATACGTATATGATTGCACAGACATATACATGTATTAATGAAATCAGTTGTAGTGCTATATGATTTTTCAAAATCAACAAAGTTAGGGCCGAGAGAAAGTGTTGGAAATATATCCATGCGTCTCGTACTAAGATTGGATTGTGATAATAAACATAAAATGCATGTCTATTACCGAAACAAACTTCAAAGCAAACTTGCGCTGATAACGTGTTATAAATATACTAAAAAAACTCAAGTAAAACAAGAATATGGGAGGATAATAGAACATTTTCTTCTTTTTCTTTCTTGTATATTCAAGTGTGTTTTTAATCCATTACAATGACATCTATTCATAGTTCTCAATGAGCATATTGAATACATAAAGTATTAATGAAGCCCATTTAAACTCTTACGTTTTTAACATCCACACTAAATGCTTATTGAATGCATTCATAACAACAATCTAATAATTATTGGATCATAAAAAAATGAGACGTAACTAAAAAATTAAATTATTGGAAAAAAATAAAAAGTAATATATGTCGTATATAATGAATGAAAATATAATTTAAGAAATTAATGAACTAATATATATTTGAATACTTAAGATTACTATTAGTTATATACTAGTAATTGCCCCCGTGCGATGCACGGGACAAACTATTGGTCGTTATGGACGCTCAAACGATGTTCTATGTACATATTTTTTCTCTCTATATATTAAAGCATTAAAAACTTAAATTTAACATTTAAATTTAACATTTAGCATGGCCCTTACAAAAAAAAAAAAAAAAAAAACCGAATGCATAAACTCTGTGGTACATAAATAGACAAATACAAACATGTAGAAGAAGTGAACGTTCATGTAGAGTCATACTGCGTAGTGAATTGCTTCAGGACTTCTCCGTAACAGCTGATGTTTGCTCAGACGAAATTTGGGCTGCAAGATTTTTCAATATTTAAAACACATATGTTAAAAACGCTCAAGAATAATTCCTTGCAACTTCCAAACATCACCATTGAACATGCAATCGACATACGTACTTGCAGACGGCAACAAAAACCCAACAAAAGAAACCGCACTTCCACAAATCCATACCAATTGCATGCACTAAGGGAAACTTAATCAAATCACTTTTCTTTTCTGCTTACATAATTTATCCATGTAACTTAGACTCGAACAGAACAGCAACTGCATTCCGGTTTGATCTAGACGTCATGGGCATATTATTATTTTCAGAAATATGTTGACAACCCTGTCTGCTCAACCCCACCACCTGTTTGCTCAACCATAAACTTTTCCAAGTTATCAGATGACATTGTTGGCGTGAAATCGAGGAAAAATGATACCAACAAATGAAAATGCCTATGATAGCAAGCTAGGTTGAAAATTAAATATCAATGCTTAAAAAATTTGTAGATCATTTAGTGAAAAAAAAAAAAAAAAAAAAGCTTTAATACTCACTCATTTTTTTCTGATGAGAAGGATTTCTTCCTCACGCAATCCCAGTGCTTGACATCATTTGCGTTTTTCAAATTTTCAATCACCAAAACTGTGGAGTCATACAAAAACTTGTGCAGATCAGGGAGCCTCTATATTACGTAAGTCCGCGCAATATAATTGGTAATCAAGTGAAGAAATTATTTCCACAAAACATAGGAACTTATCCATAACGTGGCATCCGAATTGCATGGCTTCTTCCCCACTTGTCCTATTACTATACATGATGATGCTGATATACAATGCTACAATACAAGAAAAACTAGCTTCAGGGACCAACATTTGTGGTTGGTAAAAGCAAGAAAACGGTCGTTAAAACTTATAGCGACCAAATTATACTTGGTCACTTGTGGTCACAACAGGGTGGCTACTACAAGTAGTTAGTGACGAACAAACAAGTTGGACGCTAAAAGTCACCTATTTAGTGACCACCCAATAATGGTCATTAAATATATGGTCATTAGCGTCCAAATTTGACTCGCTAATGTAAAAAAATATGGTCACAATAATATGAAAATGGATGCTATAGGTATACAAACGGTGACCACGTTGTTTTGGTCGATAAAGAATATTCAATTAACAACCAAGCAATTGGTCGTAATAAGTTTTATATGGTTCCAATAGTTGCTCAACTTATTATGATTTAGTGGCCATATTATTACACATAAAAATTCGTTGCTAAAATACTTAAACAGCATGCCGCAATAGCTTTTAATTTTATTCATATTATTGACAAATTCTAACAGTGAGAACAATTGAATTGTAAGCTAGGAGGAGCAAAAACCAAATAACAATCGTATGAAAAAATAAAATTGATTGATAGTTTGTACAGATGATAAACTAATTAATTGTAATCAATGATTATTAATTTTTATACAATAGCAGAAACACTGCTTGCAAAGTCAATTTAATTGACAATGATAACATTCAATTCGGAACTTGACTGCAACAACATCACGAGCTTCGACTGCCTCTTTTCTGGGGCATGTGGTCTTGAACCTGGATACAAGAACGACATTAAAAATTACTACAAGATGTATTTAGAGACTAAACAAGAATATTAGGTAATGATGTTCTCTTTAATGTTTGATTCTAATGGAACAACCTTAGAAAACTTCGAAACCTAACAAAATATATATAGATTTTTCATTCAAAATATTTTTTATAATAAACCTTAAAAAAGAAACATTGTTGGTCAACCTGATGCTACAATCTAATGAGTATTGAAGTAAAATCAATATAACATACCCACATTTGCAGACATGGTAAAGTTATATATAATTCAATGAAACTGTAAAAAGATGCAAACAACTTTATACAAAAACACGGACAAACTTTTGAAGCATGACATTAGCAACTTACTAATAGTTCTGAAGTGAAGGTTTTTGCTGGCTGCATCAGGAAAGATCCAAGCTTGCCATCTTGCATGCTGATGAAAACATGTTCAAAATCATATGGTCCGAATATCAGTTATAAAAAATGTCCAACCCAATACAAATTTCAAGGAAAGTAGCTTGTTTCCAAATAGATAGCCCTCCTAAAGTACCAAAGTTTTCATTGAGTGTTAGACTAGTGAAACACTCTATCACAGAGCCATTATTTCTTACAACATAATTCGAAGTAAATCACGGAAACAGAACGGTAATATACATGCAATATTTTTCCATGATCATATAAGCAATGCAAACATAAGTGAATATCATAATTGGGGAACTGATTTACCTTAACCGAGAAACCCAATCAATGAATTTATTAGAGGAACGTGAAATGAAATATTCATATTAAGCACCAATTTACCTTCTTTAAATGTCCATTGAGAGAAGATACAACCTTAAGGTCAAACGAACACTACAACTTTTGAATCAGCTCTACCAATGATAACGATATCTTGAAATGTATACAAAGGCGCAATTTACTTTTTACGATGATATTGTTTAGAATCCAAACCATAAAATAGTAGTCGATTGAGCTTTATGCACCTCTTTTAAAATCTCAATGCGAGGACAGGGGAAGACAACCTTGGAATGTTCTAACATTCCTTTTCAGTTGCATCTCGTATTGTTTCAAATTTTTCGAGGATTAAAAAAAAAACCCAAGCTAGTCTTTTCATCTTGTCAAAAAAAGAAAGAAACAAAACAAAAACAATTCTTGAAAGTTATGGCATTTTCATTTAACAGGACACATGTCATAGAGACTGCTCGATTTCTCTTGCCGATTCTGAAAAAACAATTGTACTTCAGCAATGAAGAAGCCAAATGTGCTAAAATAATGAACAATAAATCCCCAAAAGTAATTTCATCAGTAGAATCAGCCTACTACAATTGCTTGACATATAACTATTACTACAGTCATTTATATAAAAACCCATAGGCTCAGGATTAATCGCCAATGACAAAACAAAAACCACAATTGAGTGAAATTTACTATTTTAACAACTTGCAGAAGTAGTGTTACGTGCAATAAAAATCGGGTGCACAAATTACATAATACATATAGTTCTTAACATGAGCAATCCCCATATCAAGACGACGCAAGAACACACATAACAAACATGGCCTCGAAAATTTCCCCAAAATATTTAAAACCCTAACCAAGCAAAATCTACACCAAATAGTTATTTGGTCCCGTTTAAATTTTATCCAATACCTAAAAAAGTAACAATTAAGAAATCAATTTCACTCTAAACAATCTCCATTTAGGATTCAGTTTCAGTCACTAAGAATGATAAAATAATTTCAAACACACTTGGTATAGACAGAGGAGAATTATATTATTTCATAATTTTGCATTTGAAGATTGGAATTTTGAGAAACCTGACTGCAATGCAACAAGGCCAACGGGAGTCGCGGGTTATCATTCTCGGAGAAGGAGAGCTTGAGACTGATGGTAGATCGACGGAGTGACGGCAGGGGCGGATCTAGGGGGTGGCCATGTATGCCATGGACCACCCTAAATATAAACAAAAAATTATATATATACATATAATATTGGATACCTCAGTGGTAAAGTAGTCCAACTTTTACCCTGAGGTGAAGGGTTCGACCCCAAGAAAGGAAAGCTATTTTTTGCTGACTTTTTAAGTTTTTGTGATTTTTTTACCTCAATTTTCGTGCCCCCCAAATCCCAAATCAGTTTTTTTTTTCCTCAAAAGTTCTTACCACGATCAGCAGTCAGCAACTTCCCCAACACTTTTTTTTTCCTCCAAAACTTTTTTTTTTCTCCAAGACCCTCTCTTTTATTTTCCCAAAATTATTCTTATCTTCTAGAATTTGTGGAAGACAACATATAATTCAGTGGATTTTCGAATTCAATTAAGGGAATCCCGAAAAATTAAAAGCAAATCAAAGGAAAAGGGAGCTAGGGTTTCAATTGATAAAGAGGTAAAATTGTTAATTGACAGCCGATTCGGTGGTTTATGGCTATTGTCTCAGGTGGTGGTCACCGAATTTAAGCGAGAAGTCAAGTCTGTTGTTGAAACTTTAGAAGTCGATTAGAGGTAATTAGACTTTAAATTTCAATTTTTATGATTTTTCAGATAATTTGTGCACCATCAATCAAATTGTTTAATTGATTTTATTTCATTTATTTTACAGGATGTTGTTCAAGTTCTTTACGCCTATCCCTCGATTTTCGGAGTCTAATAATTCTACTATCGGAAATGAATCAACAATTGAAGCCTCTCCAATTCTTTCTACAACTGAGGGACCATCCGAAGAACCTTCTTCTACTCCTTCATCAAGTGATCCACCATCTTCAAATAAGGTATTAAAAAAGGGGGAATATTTGGAGTTGGACCCTGGCAAAAGAACTCCAATTCTTGATTATCATCCAAATGATCAAGATGAGGTGAGAAGAGCTTATCTTGTAAATGGACCTACAAGACCCAATATGACAGATTATCCTCCTAGAAAAATTGGAAAAAGGAATCGTTCTTTTAATAATAGTTGGTATAAAGACAATGACTGGTTGGAATATAGTATAGAAAAAGAAGCTGTGTTTTGTTTGCCATGTTATTTGTGCTACAATGGTACAAGTAATTCTGCATTTGTGATTGAAGGTTTTAGGTGTTGGAATCTAAAAAACAAGTTGAATACACATGTTGGTGAACTCAATAGTAATCATAGAAATTGTGTCAAAGCATGTGCGAATCTTATGAAGAAAAATCAAAGTATTGAGTCTTCGTTTGTAAAGCATAGTACAAAAGCAGAAGCTGATTATCTTGTTCGTGTAAAAGCATCACTTGAAGCAGTCAAGTTTCTTGTCAGAGGTGGAATTGCGTTTAGGGCACATAATGAGGGGGAAAATTCTATTTATAAGGGCCATTTTCTAGAATTTATCGAAGCATTGGGGAGAAACAATGAGAAAATAGCAGATGCATTTAAAAGTGGTGGAGGAAATTGTAAGATGACTTCTCCTATTATTCAAAAAGAACTTGCAAATGCATGTGCCGTTGAAACTGTTAAAAAAATAGTTGAAGAAATTGGAGATGGTTTCTTTAGTGTTCTTGTTGATGAGTCCGGTGATTGCTCTGGTAAAGAACAAATGACAGTAGTTGTGCGTTTTATTGATGATAGGGGATTTATTGTCGAACGATTTATTGGCATTGTTCATGTTGAGGATACAAGTGCGAAAGCGCTTAAAGATGCTCTTGAAACTTTGTTGTCGGGATTTGGATTGTGTATATCTAAAATTCGAGGACAGGGATATGATGGAGCAAGTAACATGAAAGGTCAATTTGGTGGATTGAAAACCTTGATTCAAAAAGAGAATCCACAAGCCTATTATGTGCATTGTTTTGCTCACCAACTTCAATTGGCTCTTGTTTCAATCGCTCGGAAGCATGAAGATGTTGATTGGTTTTTCCTTGAAGTGTCTCGTATTGTAAACTTTCTACGGTCTTCTAACAAACGACAATCTTTACTTCGAAAAAAACAAGTTGCTCATTTTGCAAATCTAATTGAGGATGAGTTGGTGGAAACGGGTACCGGTTTGAACCAAGAGTTGTCTATTGCAAGAGCGGGTGATACACGGTGGGGATCTCACTTTCGGACTCTTAGTAGGTTGATTGATTTGTTTACTCCTATTATTGAAGTGCTTGAAGATTTGAAAAGTGATAGATATTCAAAGGGTGAACCAAAAAGTTTATTATTTGTCATGCAAACTTTTGGTTTTGTTTTTATGTTGCACTTAATGGTTGAGGTTTTGTCGTTGACAAATGATTTGTCTCAAGCATTACAAAAGGGAGATCAAGATATTGTTACCGCGCCATGCAACTTGTCCAAGTAAGTAAGAAAAGGCTTCAACAAATGAGAGATAATGGGTGGGATGCATTTTATGAAAAAGTGGTGGATTCTTGTGGTAATCTTGAAATTGATGTGCCCGACATGGAGTCAAGGTATGTGAAAGGTAATAAATCCAAAAGACTAGCTCCGTTATTGACAAATCTCAATTATTTCAAGAATGATTGCTTTTTACATGTCATAGATTTTATAATGAAAGAGTTGGGTGATCGATTTACACCGGAAAATGTTGAGTTGTTGAATTGTGTAGCATGCTTGAATCCTTATTCTTCTTTTCAAGATTTTGACATTAAATCACTTGTGAGGTTGGCAAGATTCTACCCAAATGGCTTTGAAAATGTTAGTGATAAGGAGTTGTCTAGCCAACTTGAAACTTATATTGAGTGTGTCAAGATGGACGATAATTTTTCCAAGTTGAAGGGTATTTCGGATCTATGTAGGACTCTTGTTCGTACAAAAAAACACAAGACATTTCGATTTGTGTACACACTTTTGAAGCTAGCTTTGTCATTACCGGTGGCCACGGCAAGTGTTGAGCGAGTATTTTCTGGCATGAAATATGTGAAGAATGAGTTGAGAAATCGAATGGCAAATTCATGGCTTAATGATTGCTTGGTGGCATTTGTGGAAAAAGAAGTGTTTATTACAGTCGATGATCTAGATATTATCAAGCGCTTTCAAGCCATGAGTAAGAGGAGAATGCATTTACGATTGGACTAGAAATAAATTTTTAATCTGAGTTGTAATTGAAACATTGTTATTCTTTAAATTTTTTTTCTATGCGGCATACCCTGAGTTTTTATGCTGGATCCGCCACTGAGTGACGGGGAGCAGATGGATCTCCATCTGATATTGTACGCACTTTGAAAGTGGGGGTTTCAATTACTACCATTACTAATATATTTTAATAATATTAAAATATTTTATAAGGAAATTCATTAATGTTTTTAGAATGGCAAAAAGGCTCATCACATGGGACTTAAATGCATTTTGGTCCACAAAAAAAACAGCCTCTCAATTAAACCCATCCCAATGTCTTAAGTCTAAAATACCCTCAATAATATAATTCTTATCAATTCCACCCATAATGCTCTAACTTCCTTAATATTACACATTGACCCCGGATTTAAACAAATATATCACATTAACCCCCAAAAGTTTTTTTTTTCATAAAATAATTTTTTTTCTGAAATATTTTTTTTCCGGCCAGTTTCCGGCGTTGACTTTATTTTTATTTTTAATTTTTTTTGAATTCTTTTTTTCTTAGAAAAAAAATATTTTAATTAATATTACTGTTTTGGCTACTAAATTATTGTCTCAGACAGTAATATTACTGTTTGGGACAGTAATATTGTGAATATTATTTTCCCGAACAGTAATATTATTAATATTATTGTCTAAGACAGTTAATTTACTGTTGGAGACAGTAATTTACCATCCAAGGCAGTAATATTAATAAAAATATTTGTTTTTCAGAAAAAAAATATATAAAAAAAAAGTCAATTAACAGTTAAATTACTGTCTCCGACAGTTAAATAACTGTTGGAGACAGTAATTTAGCAAAGAATACAGTAATATTAATTAAAAATATTTTTTTTTAAGAATAAAAAAGTCAATTAACAGTTAAATTACTGTCTTCCAACAGTTAAATAACTGCTGGAGACAGTAATTTAGCAACGAATACAGTAATATTAATTATAATATTTTTGAAGCAAAAAAAAAGTCAATTAACAGTTAAATTACTGTCTCCGACAGTTAAATAACTGCCGGAGACAGTAATTTAGCAGCCAAAACAGTAATATTAATTAAAATATTTAAAAAAAAAAAAAAAAAAAAAAGTCAACGCCGGAGACCTGGCGGTCAACGGCAGTTGACCGGGCGGAAAAAAATTTCAGGAAAAAAAAAAAAAAAAAAAAAGTCAACGCTGGAGACCGCCGGTCTCCGGCGGTCAACGCCGGTCAACGACAGCGATCAGCGGTCTCCGGTGGTGGCGGGTCAAAATTGGGGTCAAAATTGAAATTAGGGTTAAAATTGGTTAATTGATGAAATTGGGCTAAATTGGGGTGTAAATCATAAAATTGGAATTGAAATGGGTTTCAATGAATTGAGGGTAATTTTGGTATATATAAAGGGATTTTCCTTATTTGCAAATAAGTTTGAATGGGGTGGATTTATTTGAAAGACAAAAAAGTTGGATGTCCCTCTTTTAATTAAGTGCATTTGTCATGGGCCTATTTGCCACTACCCCATGTTTTTAACTCATATAATATTTTTTTTAGTAAATATTTTTAAATGACTTACCTAGAGTCGAAATTAATTATTTTAAACTCAGATATGTTAATCTTTACAACAATTTCTATAATTCAATTTTTTTATTTTTGTAAACACTACGTGTTTTTTTTTAACCAAGATACATTTTTAATTAAAATTAAATTTTAAATGAAATAATTACTTAATTTGTCATATATTGTTCCAATTTGTTGTAGGAACCATCTAAAAAGTGGTTGCTATGATAATATTATTAGCAACCAAATTAATCGGTTTTTAACGACACTACAAAAACTTCAGCAACCATTGTATATTTTGCTCTTAGATTGGTCACTATTAATATTACTTACAACGACTATTTGAAACCAAGTCGCTAAAGATTCTATTCATGGTCGCTATATAGTTGGTCAATGCTCGACAAACAATAGTGACCATCTATAGCTACCAAATCATAGTTGGTCGCAATTTTTCTCAAGTAACTTGACTTCAGCAACAAAATTATTAATGGTGACTATATGTATATATTTAGCGACTATTTTGTCATTGTCACTAAATATTTGGTCGCTAAAACTAGTTTGTCTTGTATTATATATAAAGAATGGTGATGATTTAATTTTCCAAAGACACAATTATATTATTTATGTAGAATTGAAAGAATATTTTGCAGACATTGTTCTTGCCGACTCCTCCTTCATTCCCCGGCGGCGACGGTGGCTAACTGAATTATTCTTCTTGTTCTTATGCAACAAAAAATATAATCAAAAGGGCGAGTAATATATTGGTGAAACAAAGATTTTGATTACAGTTATTAAATCCATTGATGGGAGAAATTGTTGAAATCGTGCATAATGGAATAAGATGACACGGAATATTTATGATAAGAAAACTGATGAAGAAAAGATCGTGTATTCAGTCTGAGAAGAGGGGGTGTAGTTATTATTTTGCGGTTAATATAGAACTCGAGACAGACGTGTATACGTGTCGGAAGTTTATTTTCAGACGGTTACATATAAGATGGAAAAAAATAACTGCTAACCGTGATTGAAATATGTACATATGTGTTTTTAGGAGACCGTGGAGGTTTATGTTGAATGGTTACACATGAGGTGGGGAGGAACGTGGGGAAGATGGTAAACGAAAAAAAACCCAAAAAAAAAACCCTGAGTTTTCTAACGTGTATGAATTAATTACAGGATTGAATTATGTTTTACCAAAAATACCCCTAGGGTTACAAATATTTCACAAAAAAATGGGATTAGGGTTTCCGGGCAAAATCTTTGATTTCTTAAAATTTATCGATACTAGTAAAGGTGCCCATGCGATGCACGGGTAGCATTTTAAAAGAGGAAAAAAAAAATTTAATTACATGTCAAACAAAATTGTAAGAAAAAATATTAAGATTTTAGTTGTGAAATTCAAATTTTAGTACTACTTATGCACATTCCTACAAATTTAATAATGCAAATCCACTCAGACATAAGAGTTTTTAACGTTAATGTTTCAAAACTTCATTACCTACATATCCAAATTGTGGGATGGTTGAAATTATTGTGAATGGAGATCATGACATTGAAATTTTTGAATTATTCTATAAAGTAGTAAAGTATTTGGTAAAGCACAAATTAAAATTAATACTTGGGTAAGAAACTTGTTTTCTTTAATTTCTTTTGAATTAATTTGAAAATTGTATTTGTTTACCATTAAGTCAATAAAAATCAAAGTTTGTTTGAAGTTACAAATCTTAATGTGATATGTTACATTGTCATGAATTATTTTCCACACTCTATAATGTGAATATCTCAAAAGTCATATATCCACATATATATGACCATATATATCTTGATCTTATCTTATCATATAACGAACACAGTTTACAAACAACATATATTAATGTATGCAACAAAACATGGAAAGAACAATATGTATTGTCATGTTTAGAGCAACCTAAACGTTAGTTCTACGTGATGAAGAAAAAAAATCGATCTCCTGTCATTTTTCAAACAGCTTGCTTACGATGAGATAAGGGCAAATGTAAAACTTCGTATGGTAATATGATAGTAGGGTTAGGCATGGGTCGGTTTTATCTGCCAACCGACCCACTCGACCCGCATATTTCGGGGCATAATTTTTTCGGCGGATAATTTTGTTGTCAGGCCGGTAATTTTAACCGACCCATATATAAATGGGTTGGTCGATGGTTTTAAGTTTACTCAAAAATCGGTTGGCTGATGTTATTGTTAAGTGTATATTTTTATACTTAATCGTACCATTTAATTGGAGCTTTTGGTGTGTTTTAATGATAATTGGAGCTTAAAAGGTGATTTATTGTATTTTAGGTACAAATTGAAGAATTGGAATAATATGGGGTAAAATCTGCAATTTTGGAGAAAATATGGGCCAAAAGTGAAGAAATAAAAAATCTGAAGAAATATAGTCCGGGACGGCCGTCCCATAAATTCACTTAAAACTGGGACGACCGTCTGAGAAGCAAAAGCAGTCTCTGGTTTTGAGGCGGCCGTCCGAGTTTTAGTGCAAAATTCGGGACGGCCGTCCGAGATTACGAAAAGGCGCAGTAAAGGAATCCTAATTGCACAAGGAAACTACCTTCTTCTCCAAATTTTCCACCCTATATAAGACCAATCAAGCACACAATTGGGGATCCATCTTTTTACTCAAATTCAATAGCAAAGAATATCAACGAAGATTCAAGCAGGGAGTTATCTCGCTGCAGGTTGTAGTATTGAGCAAGTTGGCTCCTCTTGGGAGTTGCCTTGCAACGAATTTGTAGTATCGAGCGAGTAGGCTCCTCGTGGGAGTTGTCCCGCTGCGGGTTGTAGGACCGAGCGAGTTGTCTCCTCGTGAGAGTTGTCTCGTTGTGTGTAGTAGGACAGAGCGAGTTGTCTCCTCGTGGGAGTTGTCTCGCTGCAGGTTGTAGGACCGAGCGAGTTGTCTCCTCGTGGGAGTTGTCTCGCTGCGGGACAAATATAGCTCACCTAGGGTGGTGTAGAAAATGAACTGGGAGAGCAAAGCGGATCAGTAGCTTGACAACTTGATGATCCTGAGGTACCTGCGATCATAGAACATGTAAACTAGGCCGGGGGTTGATCCAGCGGAAACTCCTCCGATGCTCAAGTCAGACGTGCTGATCATATAAATAGTCCAGAGAATACAATTAATAGTATTGCTCAGTTAATAGGACGTACCTTAAGGAATGAGTTCAAATGATTATTTATAGCTTAGTTCAGATTGTCGGGCTCAAATCTTACTTGAAGGTGATTGGGCCTCGGTGATAGTGGTGTTAAATATTGGGCTCGTGGCCCAGTAGGTAAATAAATTGTAAGCCCATTGGATTGGCCCAATTAGGCATATCAGGGATACATGTGTTTTTACAAAATATTCGAAAAAATTGTTTTTGTGTACTTAATTGAATAATAAAGTGATCTTGTTGAGTC